AGCCATTCTGTTTCAACACCTCCGGTGTCTTATCAAGGATGATGTTGATGTAGTGATTTTATAACATATTTATGTTATAATTTTTAAATAAATAATTATATTTGATCTACTCTGTATTGAGCACTCTTTTAAGAATAGTAATTGTTGGTTATTGGAATTCATTCCGTATACACCAATTATATACTTATATATATATATATATATATATATATATATATATATATATATATATGTGTGTGTGTGTGTGCGCGCGCGTGCGTGTGAGCTGCAATGCGTGAACGTGCGTGCGGGTATGCATGTCAGTACACGTATGAATGGCTTTCCGACGATGTGGTCCATATAATGGGTTCGATGCGAAATTCCCAAAAATATCAGGCCGAAATGTACGATGACGGCAACGTTGTGAATATGGTAATAAAGACGAGGACAACAATTCTAACAATGTAAATCGTATATATATATATATATATATATATATATATATATATATATATATATATATATATATATATATATATATATATATATGTGTGTGTGTGTGTGTTGTGTGTGTGTGTGTGTGTTTGTGTGAGCTGCAATGCGTGAACGTGCGTGTATGTATTTCAGAGCACGTATGAAATCTTTCCGACGACAATTTTTCCTCCCTCTGCAATTAAACAACGATATACGCAACCATAAAGAAATCCAAAATTTCAAAATTAACAAGTTTGTCTGACGATTGCAAAATTCGTGAAATAAAGGGTCACTATCCCACATCAATACAAGTAAATATGTTGGCTCTATCCCTGATAGTGAGTGCTTTCCAATAAGTTGTGTGCATATATAATATATAAATAATATATATAAAAATTATATATATATATATATATGTATGTGTGTGTGTGTGTGTGAGTCTGTGTGTGTGTGTGTGTGTAAAGAGAGAGAAAGTGAAAGAGAAAGAGAGAGAGGCGTACTTATTATGCTTTGCTGATAAAAATACACATTCTTGGCTTTATCGGCATATCTATTTATGTATATTTATGTATGTATCTATCTGTCTATCTTTCTATATCTCTCTCACCTCTCTCTCTCTCTCTCTCTCTCTCTCTCTATATATATATATATATATATATATATATATATACTCCTAGATGTCGCAGATTTTGTATTCGTTGTTCACAAAAACGTCAATATTTGCTTCCTCGACCTGGCTGCTTTTAGATGCTACATGTTCTTCCAGATTCTGTTACTCATTTTGTACCGTAAACTATGAGAGACAAACGACACCATTCACCCACACAATCAATGAATTTACTTTCAACTACATCTACTAATTCTATTGAAATGCAAGCTAGATTTCTTCGGTATAATTACGAACACTTGCGCAATCAATAATGAATTAGGAGAAAATTATGGAAAGCGACGGAATTTCAGATATTCACGGAATGTATAAAATGATACACAAAGCGAAATCTTCTAAAAGGATGAATTAAAGACGTGAAAAAAATAATGAAAAACAAAAAAAAAAAAAAAGGAAAATTGACGATGTTGAAACATTTGGTTTACAAGGAGTGCCTGATACGACAGAATCAGCTTTCCGAAAAGATATTGGTAAAAGAATAAAATAATATGAATAGGAATTATTTTCCGCTAGACAATTTCCGTACACATTATTGATTCTAGTCTGAAAGTGAAAAAGCTACAGAAGCGGCAGAGACAGATTTGGATGCAAATTAAAGACACACCACGATTCCATATCTATGTCTTGCTAATTAGTGTTGCTTGACAAGGATTGCTATGCTTAGCGTATGGGCAAAAACTAACATGGAGGCCAGCAAACGTCGTGTTTACCGCGCTTCGTATTGTCCGCCGCCAAATAGACTTGCCAATCGTCCGTTACTAATTCAAATGCACAGTGATTTTGGTTAATTGAAAATTAAAACGACCGATATGAGACTTATTTAATTAAAGGTTAGATCATAGAATTAAGAATGGTTTTTGATAGAGCCAGGGGTATTAAGGGCGGGAATAATTGGACTAGATTGATGAGGCATGGGGAAAATCGTCTAACAACAACAGTAATAATAAAAATGAAGGGAAATTGGTATTATTATTATTATTATTAAAATATGTGGCAAATCGCTAGCAAAAATAAATCAACTTCAAAGAAGAATAACAAATAAATAACAACAGCAATAATAATAACAACAACAACAACAACAACAACAATAATAATAATAATAGATAAATGTGCAAAAGTAACATTCAAGATAGGGAGAATTACAGAAACATATTCAATACATTTAGATTTTGTCACCAAGTTTAGAGAACTGGAACAATATGAAGCCTATAAGTACCTAGGAATTAGAGAAGGAGATTGAATAAGCATACCCATATCAAGAAGATTGTAAGAAAGGAATACTACAGGCGTGTGCCTTTGGAACAGAATACCGAGCCGAATTTAAAAAGAAAATCGAATATCAGCCATAAAAAATCTTGACTTCCCATGTGGTGCAATACAGTACCAACGTTCTAGACCATAACTGACATTAAGCAAATGAACTCCAAAAATGAGAAAGCTTCTCACCTGCCACCGCATGCAACATCCCAAAGCTGACGTTGATCGTCAGTATGTGCTCAGAGCCGAAGAAGGAAGAGGATTATTTCAACTAGAACTGTCTTACAAAACTACAACAACTGGCCTTCAAAGATACTTAGAAGCGGCAGAAGACTGGATGATGATGATATGTGTCAAAGAATATACGCGAGTTTATTCAGTAATAAAGAAAGCCAACAGGTTGAAAATGGCGTTTCAAGTGGGTGAAAAAATATAAGTAAAGCACAATACATCGACTGAAGCTGCAAAATAGTGAAAAAAAAAGTAAAGCAAAATCAAATACAAACGACCAGATACAGAAACGATGGCAAGATAAACTGCTTCACGGTCAATACTCGCTCCAAACACACCGATGTCGACAAATCTCGTACTCGTGTTTGGCGACGGAGTGCAGGGTTAAAACCTGAATACGAAAGTTTTATTCTTGCTGCACAGGGAAAATGCTTATTAACTAGAAATAATGAAGCATATTTACCGAAAAATTGTGTTAGGCCAAAACTTAGATTCTGTGATGAATATCCAGAAACAATTGACCATATCGAATCAGTTTGCACGGTATTGGCACCCACTGAATATAAAACCCGTCATGATAGAGTGGGCCAATACCTGCACTGAGAAATCTACAGCTTCTTTGGAAAGGAAACTGCAAGTAATTTGTATGAATAACACACAGACCCGGTTACGGAGATATGTAACAATTTTATGGGACTTCACAATCGCCCTAAACACTAATCGCCGAGACATCGTTATTAAAGACCACAAAAAATGGTCTCCTTATTGATATGGGAATCCCTGCAGTCTGCGATGTATCTTTGAAGATCTTCAAAAAGCTATCAAAATACAAGGAGCTTGAAATCGAAATCTCAATAATGTGGCACATGAGAACATCAACAAATGCAATTGTAGATGGAGACCTCAGATTTATTGGAAAAGATTCCAATAGACTTATTGAAAGGATTCCTGGTAGCCCATTCCGTAAAGAAATGCAAAAAATATTATTCTCACTAGTACAGCCCCGACCATACGAAGGCATTTAACTATCTTAAATATATGTGATCTTTTCTTTAAATTGTTCAGGTGTAAATGTCATGATGCCATTTCTGGCCTTAGTTCTCCAGTCTGGACCTGGAAAGAAATAAGTACAGACCAGAAAATGATAATAATAATAATAATAATAATAATAATAATAATAATAATGAATCAATAAATCAATAAATCAAAAAATGAGCCTATAAATCAGTGGTAAATATGTGAACTTGTGTCTATATTTCTGAGATGAAGTATTGCAACTATTTACGCTATTTACATTGTTCGGACTGTTGTCTTCATCTTCATTGTCATATTCACGACGTTTCGGCCGTTGTTCGCTTTGCACTTCTTCAGGTGGTATGCGTTGGAATTTCGATGTGAAACCATTATTTAGTCCACAGGGGTAGATTGTACTAGTTCCACGTGCCATGCCTTTTTCTGCGTATCTCAGTTTCAAGTAATTCCCTTTCTTGACTCAACACTTTAAGTTTTTGTTCACCACTGATCTAGCCAGGTATTGAACTTTGGGTCATGTCACTTTTTAGATTACATCGAATAATGCTTTTATTCACTGGATCATGTGTCCTTGGAGAGATGAGATATTACTGCAAGTGAAAGATAACGAAGAAATTTTAGCAGGAACCGGAAACCCAATCCTAAAGAGGAAACAAGGGATAAACTTCTACTCCTGTTGAAAAGATCACGGCGTGTGAACCGGGCGAGAGGCGAACTTATTTACTCTTATCGAAGGAAAAACAAAAAAAAAACATAGTGAATAGAATGTCAGATTTAAGGCGGAGACGTTAGAAATACAGAGTTGAAGTAGGCTATAGATAGAACAGGAACTGGAAAAAAAAAGAAGAAGCCTGTACGTTCAAAAGAACGGGGATGAGTGTAAGTCAGACGATAGGCGAACCTATGTTGAGGAGAAAAAATAATAAATAGGAAATAAAATTTCAGACTTTAAACAAATAGATTAGAAGTATAGAGTTGAAGAAACTTTAGTAAGAACCGAAAACTCAATACAAAACCGAAAACAAGGGATAGACCTGTACTCCTGTTCAAAAGATTGAGGGGGAGTGTGAAACGGATGATATAATATATTGATAAAAATTTAGTTGAAATTAGAAAAATCTAATTTCATAAAAAACTACTGTAAAAAGAAAGATAAAAAAAAACGTTCATATTAGTAACAGCTCTGTATCATCAATACAGCTAAATATAAATTTCGTTTTTCATATGACGGCGATTGATCAGATAACATAAGATTTTTCTAAATTGTCTTATGTATTGTCAACTTTTATATTTACATACGCTCTATCCCTGTTTTTGAGCACGTTTAAACATAAATATAGCATAACAAAGCTATATTTTATCATATATCTGTATGGGGGTGCATGTGTATGTGTGTGTGTGAGAAAGAGAGAGAGAGAGAGATAGCGAGAGAGAGAAAGAGAGGGGGGATAGCGAAAGAGAGGGGGAAAAGAGAGAGGGGAGATAGCGAGAGAGAGAAAGAGAGAGGGGAGATAGCGAGAGAGAGAAATAAAGAGGGTAGATAGTGAGAGAAAGGGAAAGAGAGAGGGGAGATAGCGAGAGAGAGAAAGAGAAAGGGAAGATAGCGAGAGAGAGAAAGAGAGTGGGGAGATAGCGAGAGAGAGAAAGAGAGAGTGGAGATAGTGAGAGAAACGGAAAGAGAGAGGGGAGCTAGTGAGAGAGAGAAAAAGAGGGGGGATGAGAGAGAGAAAGCGAGAGGGGAGATAGCAAGCGTGAGAGAGAGAGAGAGAGAGAGCGAGAGATAGAGGAGATAGCGAGAGAGAGAAAGAGAGAGGGAGATAACGAGAGAGTGAAAGAGATAGGGGAGATAGCGAGAGAGAGAAATGGACTGCCGTCACATGATCTTGACAAGACTATTGCCGTTTGATGCTATCCTCCTTGTCCAAATATATATATATATATATATATATATATATATATATATATATATATAATATATATAAAGGTTAATGGTCAGTGTTGAATCAGACAGTGTGAAAAAAAAATAAAAGGTAAAAAATAACATGTAGATATTTAAACTTTAGATAGATTGCTTTCGACGTCACGATCTCATCAGATATGTGGTTCTTTGTTGTTTTTTAAAAAAGCGTTGATGGCCAGTTGACAGAATTAGACTGATGATACCGTTAGGTCAAAACCAAGGTCGCGTATTCTATCTGACATGCTAATTTTTAAAGTTTACACACACACACACACACACACACACACACACACACACACACACACATATATATATATATATATATATATATATATATATATATATATATATATATATATCGTGAGAGAGAGAAGGGAGAAAGTTTTACATGAATAACTACTTAGGAAATATGAATTAATGTGTTTCTAAAGCTTCCAGCATAATATAAGTAGATTTAAAATATTAACATCAAATTAACAAATAATCCTTATTAAATTATCACATATACTTTTTCCTGTTAGAATCATTGAAAAACTGACGAAAGAAAGAAAAATATGCCGACTCTGACACACGAAATATGATCAATAAATTGCTACAATTTTTTTTATCCCTCTTATAATTTGCTTTTATTATTTTTTCCACAGTTGAACGCACACTGAAGTCATCACATGAACAGCCATAATTATAGCCTCGTTTTAGATTTGTATCAACTTGAAAAATGTTAAAAATACGAAGCAAAGTGTTAGAAGTAGAGGAGGCATCGTGTGAAGTGTGATACCGTCTTTTATGCCAGTCAAGGTGTTGGTGCTATCAGACACCTTTGTCAACGCTATGCTTTCAAAGCTACAGCATCTTCTTTGGTCATTGTTTCTTCCTTCTTAACACAGATGGCTTCTTGTTTATTCCTACCAAGAGACTAAAACGACAACGTCAAACGGAATCATCTTCAGTTGAGGCTATATAGAGTGTATGTTTTATTCTATTTTAAGTGTACTAATACTGTATTTATTACAGTTGGTCTACAAACAGTCTTGTCTGCAGTCCTGGGTATGACGATAAACTACATCCGGCAGCAAGACATTTTGATATTTTGAGGAACATGGGACCACATTTAATTACCATTGTTCTAAGGTTCACCACAATCAGGGGTGGCAGAAACAGTTAGGGTCCCAGCTACAGACAAATAGTGAACGCCAAAACAAAAACAAAACGTTATGTATGTATAAGAACATATTTTATGGCAAAATAACCAACGATTCATTTTATAGTAAAATGACTAACGATACCTTTTCGTAGCAAAAATGATCAACGATACATTTTATAACAAAATGAGTAACGATACATTTCATAGCAAAATGACCAACAATACATTTTATAGTAAAATGAAAAACAATACATTTTATAGTAAAATAACTAACGATAAATTTTATAGCAAAATGACCAACAATATATTTTATAGCAAAATGACCAAAGATACATTTTATAGCCAAATGACCAACGATACATTTTATAGCAAAATGACTAACGATACTTTTTGTAGCAAAAATGATCAACGATACATTTTATAACAAAAGGAATAAGGATACATTTTATAGCAAAATGACCAACAATACATTTTATAGCAAAATGACCAACAACACATTTTATCTATAATTGAAGCCATACGATTGCATTAAACATATGTTTAGTTAAAGCCATAAAATTGTGTAAAATATTTAGATTTTGGCATTAGATATTTGATATAAATCGAAACGTAATCGTCCAACTGACATGAAAATACGCTCATCTACATTTACTCTAAATATTATCCTAGAGTTTCTTAAATCAAACTCTATCTCAATATATAACTTGAACAAAAGTACAACATAAAACAGACATATCACTGCCTCTATTAATTATGCCTACATAAACATGTATATGCAAAAAAGCTGAGTATCACCTACCATGTATACAAATGTGAAGGCAGAATAACATCCCCCCAAGATAATTTAATTTCAACATTAAATGACTCAAATAAGTCAATCAGTTAGAAATGTGCATACCTTGTTACCTTTATTTATTTTTATTGATAAACCATCCAATAGAAGGTCTCCTCAAGATAGAGGATTACTGAGTGAGATTTTAAGGAAGGGTGATTGTATTATGAGAACGGGTAGGATAGATATGGATTGATCATGGACTTTAAGAGACCAAGATTTATTTGTCAGGGAAATATTCTCCCGAGAGATTTCGCCACAAACTAACAGTTATAGGGAAGAAACAGTCTACAGTGGAACTTGTTATATTATTAAAGGAATGCGAAAGGCATATGAATATTTTTTCACCTTGAACAGGGCATGGTGGGCCCTAGCTGTGTTCGTCCGTGCTGGTGAGTCTAAGGAACGTAAGTCGTACGAACATCTGCCATATTAATAACGATATATAAGAGAAAGGTTAGCGATGTTTCGTTTTGGGTATAAGTGTAGCAGAGTGAAAAATCAGGTACAAGACCGTGTAAACGTTTTAAACCCTGTCGAATTCGGGTATTGAAAACTGAGCAATAACAGCCCAAATAAGGCAGTAATACTCTATTCTTGGTCTGATATAACTTGCAATAACAGACCATGACATCGGGAGTTAGGTATATTCCAGAGCGATACAATAAGCCCTCAACTCTTCCAGCATCTTTTGCGATGGAACATATATCGGCACTCCATTTCAGGTTGAGAGTGATCTTTTGCACTGATAGTCGATCGAAGCAATGAGCCACTTTGAGATATGGCCACTCGCCAGTTTTCGTGCAGATTTAGAGTCTGCTTGGTGGTGAAAGGCGTAAATTAGATGTGGCCCAAGCCGAACGTGTGGGGCGCCCAGTGAGGAACGAATTCAGTCGTAATTGATCTAGCGGAACAGGCTTGCTAAACATTATCCCACGTCAATGTTCCCTAGTGATTTACTAAGCGTCGCGTAGATGTGGAACAGAGCCCATTATGTGGAGCACCCATTGAGGATCGAAATCACAGTCTTAATTGTTCTAACGAGGCAAGATTGCTCAACATCATACCACGTCGAGGTGCCCTGATCATTTTCTAATCATAATATATATACATGGTAGAAGGCCAAAAATATTGGGTGAATAATGTGGATAGACCTCAGATGTCAGTCGTAACTGATGAAGTGAGACAAGGTTGCTAAATATTAGGCCACATCGAGGTGCATTAATGATTTTCAAATGGTAGATTTGATATGGCACAAGATCGAAAGAATTGAGGCACCCAGTGAAGATCAAGCTCACTAAGTCGTAATGGATCTAGCGAGACAAATTTGATGAATATTCTACCACGTTGATGTACCCTAATGATTTTCTAAGCTTTGCTTAGATGTGGCATGAAGTCGAAAGTTTGGAGCAACCAATGAGAATGGAACTTTTTTGCCAGTCTTAATTGATCTAATGGGACAAGATAGCTAAATATTATACCAAATCGAGGAACTCTAATTATTATCTTATCGCAGCTTAGATATGGCACAAGTAGGAAGGTATGTAGCACACAGTGATGGCCCTAATACATTACTTAGACATAATACATATAGCGAGACAACCTTGTTAAACATTATACAACGTCGAGTTGCACTGATGATCTTCTAATCGTAGCTTGGATGTGGAGCAAGGTCGGAAGTATAGGGCACCCAGTGAAGTTCGATCTCACTTGTCAATCGGAATTGATCTGGCGAAGCAAGATTGCTAAAACTTATTGCACGTCGATGTACCGTGATGGCTTTCTAATTGTAACTTAGACTGAAAGCATGTGATATATATATATATATATATATATATATATATATATATATATATATATAAAGGTATATATATATATTTCAAATTATAATTTATAAAATTCATGAATCATTCATAAAAAAACAAATATAGAGGTTAATGATTTAAATGGCGAGAATACATCTTCGCAAACAATATAAATAAGATACATAAAACCCGAACCTGTATATGAATGATATGATCCCTGTTCATAAATTCCAGTTGCATAAGGTTTTTTAATTTTTACAAGCTTTCGTCTTATTACCGAGAAGTAAAAACAAGAACAAAATCTATTTCCATACCTGAGGATGTCTGTAGGAATCATTAACCTCTATATTTGTTTTTGTATGAATGATTTATGAATTTACACACACACACACACACACACATATATATATATATATATATATATATATATATATATATATATATATATATATATGCGATAGAAATTAGAGGATTTGAGATAATTGAATTAAGTACTTCAGTGAGTCTAGGAGACACCTCAAGAGAATGCAGAGAGCACCGGACGGCCATTTGTACTATATTTGGGACTCATCAGTAGTGCACACCCTCTACCGAGAATTGAAATCCATACAGTTACGTTATCAGGCAACGGGTCATATATATATATATATATATATATATATATATATATATATATATATAATATATATATATATATAAATAAAAAAAATTTAAATAAAAACAGACCACTTTAAGGTTCCACTGCTATTATTTAAATTAAAATTATTTGCTCTGAATTTACATTGAGCTCTCTGGATTTTATCCTCCTTAGGTTTACCCGTACGTTTTCATTAACTATATTTTATATATAATATATATATATATATATATATATATATATATATATATATGTGTGTGTGTGTATGGCACAAGGGAGAATGTAAAAACACCAGTGAGGATCGAACTCACTGCTCAGTCGTAACTGACCTAGCGCTACAAGCCAGCTAAACGTTATACCACATCTAGATGTCTTGATTATTCTTTTAATCCTAGTTTAGTTACGGCACAAAGCCAAAAATATGGGGCACCCAGTGAGGATCGAATTCACTTGTCAGTTTTAATTGATCTAGCGATATAAGACTGATAA